AACAACCGCTGGCTGCCCAGCAACAATTGAACACCATTTGGATGTTGAACTTATACCATATTTGTTAAGGAGCACACACTGTGCCCCTCAATGTAACAACCTTCAATTTCAAACTTTAGTACCAAGTATAGTCAAAACTATAGAGTATTATCTTAGTTCAGTCCAGTAATTTGGACAAAATATAATATCAGTAAACAATTGGGAGTTGCAATGTGTGTATAAAGCTCACACACATCACCAACACCTCACGAGGATCTTCACTTCCCTCTCTAATTACTGCTTGTAATAGTAGGAAGTTAACACAAAGATAAAGATCCAAAATTTCTTGAGTGCTGGTGTATAATCATATTAATTAATTAAATTTAATTAGTATTAATTCATAATTTTTAATTAATAATTTAATAAATCCTCAAAGTATTTACAGATGATTAGGACGCATGGCCAGGCCCACACTCTGGTAAGTACTCAAATTAAATACGATTGTTTCTACTTAAAGAGGTAAGGTGGGCTATTAATTACTAGTGTTAGTTTGTAATATGAATATGTTCTATTTGTATCAGTGCAAAGAGTTGAGCATATAATTAAAATATGATTATACTTAACATTTACCTAAAACATGATTCAGAGGTTGAGACATCAACCATCACCTCAGACACTGAACAAATCTTAACCATAGCAATGATCCGTTAACAATTGACAACAGGAGACACTAAGATGTACTATTTTCAATATATAAAAAAGTTCATAGTGGTTTAAAAATAAATTTTAATATGGTTTACCGATATCAGCCGTGCTTATAATTTACACATGCTAGAAGGTGAGTTTGAGAGTAGTTAAGAGTCTAGGAGAGATGAATGAAAGGAGATGAAAACAAGCGATGGTTACCAGAGAGACTGGATCTCAAATCTATTTTTTAATGAGTTGCAACATTAATGCACCTGTTGCTCATTATTTTGTTGCCTCTGCCACGAATGCTAAACTCTTAGTGACCACCATGAGTCGCGGTTCATAATTACAAGGCCTTCCTTCTACACTGCGAGAGTTCTGTCACTGCTACACTTCCCTGTTGTATGAAGGTAAGATGATTGCTTACATATACAACTCAAGTGACCGGATCACAGCTTAATATGAAGCACTCTTGAATTCTGCTGTCATGATAGTCAACCCGTGACATCCACACCCCAGGCATGGGAGTCATCCACACCCAAGGCATGGTGTAACAAACTAGGCTTGTTGTAAGAATTATCCAGAAGGTTCCAGAAGTCGTGTAAGGACCTGACCTCACAACGCGCATTCCTCTGGGAATTAGCAAGTCTGAGTCACAAAATGGCTGACGTCTTTGTTCATAGCTTCGTATAATGAACCATTCTATAGTATTCACTTATTTAGAGAAATTAGCCTTTATTCATTTTGCATTCAAATTGTTTTGTATAATATTACTGTTTATAATATCAAGAGTAGTCTAATTATTAGGAGAATGAGTTTAAGTCACCATCAGTGACGTCACTATCCATGACTAGACCTCGGCGCGGAAGAATTTGAGTGACCTGACGGTCATAGGTCAACAGTTTCCACATTCAGTAATTCTCAAAGGTCAAATAGCCATTTTGGGACCGGGAATGGCCCTTCCTTAAGAGGCTTGTGTAATTTAACTTCAGTAAAATATTTCAACCAATCTGGATCAATTCAGTGCAACAGAGTTTAATTGTTAAACTTAAGCCTGGCTAGTAACATGGTAAAACTTAGACTATGCGGAAGGATACAATGCTCTAGTCTGGGGAAGACCAGACGAGGAGAGTTTAGTGTGGGATCGAGATCAACTGGGGGATGTCAACCATCTCACCTCTCCCCTAAGACCAGCACTCAACCCAAGCTGGTCAACATAGAGGTATAGTTGCTACTGTTATTTATAGGGATAGCCAATTCATTGCCGATCTGGTCAATTAGGGAGTGTTCAAGTAGGGAGTGCTAACAATTTAGATTTTGCTTAATTTTGAATAAATTAATTAGTTAATAATCTGCATTTTCATTATTTCCATGTGTTTGTTATATGTATGTGAATTGGTCCTTGTCACGTGGTCCCCACGAGGCAGAGTTGAATTGGGCGCTGATTCTAACATCGAATCAGGATTATCATTCCCGGATTTGTAATTAATTCCACACGTTAGATCCGAGGTTATAAGTTACTAGTGGAGATCAAGCCCCAAGGTTGATTAATTAGCATGATCGATCCAGACCTCGATCATGGCTCAGTGTTACTGGTCTGGTGGTGGCGGCGGAGGCGACTCTAGGGTTTTGCTCAAAGCCTAAGTCACGTCATACGGGTTGTAGAATCCTAAGTCGGTCAATCGTCTTAGGACCACGTGGCGTGGAGTCGGCTTTAGTAAAAGTTTTGGAGCCCCTTGGTAGAGAATAAAAAGTAAGAATATGGGTAGAGGTAGTAAAAAGGTAGGAAAGATCATTCGAGAACATCCCCCACCCGTGTTACAATGGGAGTCATCCACACCCCAGGCATGGGAGTCATCTACACCCCAGGCATGGGAGTCGTCCACATGCCTGGCATGGGAGTCATCCACACCCCAGACATGCGAGTCATCCACACCCCAGGATGGGAGTCATCCACACCCAAGGCATGGGAGTCATCCAGTGACAACCACACCCTAGTCATAAAAGCCAGTTAGCGCCAACAATGCCTCGGTAATAAAAGATTGCTCACTATTAATTACTTAGACGTCATAAAAAAATTATTACAAGACCTGAGAATAAAGTGAGGGGAATGATGAGGCTGAGGAGGCGAGGTGAGAGGAGCAAGAGGAGAGAGTACATGAGGGAAGGGGGAAGGGGGAGTGGGGTGGCAGGGGGAAGGAGTCTTAGGAGGAAGTAGGGAAGGGAATGTAGCTCTATATTAGTTTTCCTCGTCGGTGTCTGTATCTGTTTATTTGCCTTAATCAGTTTAGTTACCTCTAAAATACATTTTATATTCTACAAGTTGATATAAGTTGTTACGTGAAAAGCTACTGAGGCAATACCCAGCAGGTAGTATGGTTCACAGTAACACAAAGGTACTGTGGCAATACCTAGCAGGTGGTATGGTTCACAGTAACACAAAGGTACTGTGGCAATACCTAGCAGGTGGTATGGTTCACAGTAACACAAAAGTACTGTGGCAATACCTAGCAGGTGGTATGGTTCACAGTAACACAAAAGTACTGTGGCAATACCTAGCAGGTGGTATGGTTCACAGTAACACAAATCAAATAAAAAAAAACGAATATGATTTTTGCAGTGTGATTATGATGGGCAAGAATTAAAGTATAAAAAAACAAGGAAAATATAAACTAACTAGCCGTACAAATAAGAAATAAACTATACTCACGGAATGAACGGTATGGTAAACAACACAGCTCAGTTCCAATGCAATTCTCACAAAATAATTAAATCAAAATGAAAATAAATCAAAATCTATGAAAATTCAATTTATCAACGCAATCGGAAACATTTAAATGGAATTGTAACGTATTAAGTATAGCATGTATGTTGCTCCTACATGCAACAGATGGCGCTGTTTGTCAAGAAAAGTCACAGTTTTAAAAAAAGTTTTACCAGTCACAGGTGTGGCATCTATACTTATACTTACGAAATGAACGGTATGGTAAACAACACAGCTCAATTCCAACACAATGTCACACAAAACAGTTCAATAGAAAAAAAGCAAATCGAAATCTATGAAAAAAAATTATCAATTCAATCGAAAACATTGAAATGGAATTTGGTACATATTTAGTATAGCGTGAATGTTGCTATTATGTGCAACAGATGGCGCTGTTTTTTTTTTAAACGCATATTTTTTACCTGTCACAGGGGAGTCATCTATATAGTAGGTATATAAAAAGACGCGCCTATTCGAATGCCACGTTGTGTCAAAATTTCAAAGCAATTGGTGAAGAACTTTTGGAGATTACAGCGTGTGTTGCTCTTACATCCAACAAATGGCGCTGTTAAAAAAAACATGTTTTTTCCTGTCACAGGTGAGGCATGTATATGGTAGATAAATAAAAAGACGCGCCTATTCGAATGCAACGTTGTATCAAAATTTCAAAGCGATTGGTAAAGAGGTTTCAAAGATTTCGCTCACATGAAAAACACTGTTTTTCAGAAAAAGCATGTTTTCTTATCGTCACAGACGTCGCATCTATGTAGTATATATATAAAAACCTGGCCGGATGAGAATGGAACATTGTGTGAAAATTTCAAAGCAATCGGTGAAGAACTTTCGGAGATCAGCGGTTTTGAACAAACGAACATTTCCATTTTTATTTATATAGATTTAACAAAAATATAATATTTATCCATACTGCTTGACTGACAACTTAGCAAGTACACAGAATGAGAAATAACAAAAAAGACATGAATGGAAAATTAACTCTTAAGACTCGGACCAATTTGTGTACAAAGGAGAGTTACCTCGAGATGGTTTCGGGGCTTAGAGTCCCCGCGGCCCGATCCTCCACCAGGCCTAATTTTCATGGGAAAGTTCATGGGGATGGGAAATCATTTTCACAAACTTCCTCAAGCTCTCTCAAATGTTTTTTTGTATAATCTACATGGCGCAGGCTCCAACATTTCCTAATGGATGAACATCGTAAAATATGCACAAAAATAAATAGAAACTAAATTTACAAACCCAAAATGTGCATATTTCAAAAAACTTAAAAAAACGAAAATGTCATCAATGTTCTTTTTTTCACTCTTGTATCAGAATGCAATATAATCTTCAATATCTATATTTACTTACTTAAATACTTAATTTCACATAATTATTATTTGTTTATCTATTTATAGCGATTTATAAATAACAACATTTCACAGGTAGGAGTTGATATTCACGAACTGTATTAGCACCTGTAGTGCGCATTTACCTGTACTATGATGCATGGCGCTCTAAAGTCACAGTAATGTGTGTGTATGTTTGGGGGTAAAAAGGTAATAGTTCAGTAACTTTATTGCCTATTGCCGTTGGTGTGGCCACAGCGTGGGGTGAGGCACTGTGGCGGTGGTGTGGCCACAGCGTGGGGTGAGGCACTGTGGCGGTGGTGTGGCCACAGCGTAGGGTGAGGCACTGAGGCAGTGGTGTGGCCACAGCGTGGGGTGAGGCACTGAGGCGGTGGTGTGGCCACAGCGTAGGGTGAGGCACTGAGGCGGTGGTGTGGCCACAGCGTAGGGTGAGGCACTGAGGCAGTGGTGTGGCCACAGCGTAGGGTGAGGCACTGAGGCGGTGGTGTGGCCACAGCGTAGGGTGAGGCACTGAGGCAGTGGTGTGGCCACAGCGTAGGGTGAGGCACTGAGGCAGTGGTGTGGCCACAGCGTAGGGTGAGGCACTGAGGCGGTGGTGTGGCCACAGCGTAGGGTGAGGCACTGAGGCGGTGGTGTGGCCACTGCGTGGTGTGAGGCACTGAGGCAGTGATGTGGCCACAGCGTGGGGTGAGGCACTGAGGCGGTGGTGTGGCCACAGCGTGGTGTGAGGCACTGAGGCAGTGGTGTGGCCACAGCGTAGGGTGAGGCACTGAGGCGGTGGTGTGGCCACAGCGTGGTGTGAGGCACTGAGGCGGTGGTGGGCCACAGCGTGGTGTGAGGCACTGAGGCGGTGGTGTGGCCACAGCGTGGGGTGAGGTAGGCCGCATCCCTGTGCAGAGTTTTGGGAACATTAATTGGAAAAGGCATGCAGATCAGCTCATGCCAAGGTTCACAGGGAATTTTGAAGACCCTTCAGGTGGGGGTGGGGCAAATAGTGATATCCATCCTTATAATGAAGGGGTAGCAGCACCTGCAGGAGACCATGAGGCAGAGCAAGGGGCAGCAGAGGGTAATGGGGATACAGTTAACCCTATGGACTCTGCAAGGAGTAATTCAGAAGAAAGTTTCCCAGAAGTAACAGGTCAGGACTCCCAGTTGAGGAAATCAGGAAAAGTCATACGACCGCCTGATATACTTAACCTGTAGGGATAGAGTTTATTTAAAATGGGAGGAATGCTAGGATTGAGTACTACAGATGATGGAGGTAGCATGTTCGGAGCAGATGCTCTTTTGTTTATGATCTTGTCAATAATATTTCATGTATCTGATAATGGTTTTGTTGTTGTTGTTATTGGCTGAGAATAAAACCATGTAGACGAAGATTGTTTCTCTTCAGCCTTCAACCATAACAGCATTCATTATGAGATGCTTCGACATTTCCCTCCGTGCTCGTCTCAGCATTTACTGAATCTGTTTATGGGAGTCGTCGTCAGCCCTGAAGACTGGCTCGATGCTGCTGTCCTCCCTGTTCGGAAACCAGGGTCTCTCGGGTCTTCCCCCAAGGACTTCCACCCTATTGCTGTCACTAGTTGTGTCTGCAAGCTCTTTGAACACATGGTTAACGTTTGTCTGATGTGGTTCTTAGAGCGACATCACCTCCTTTCCCCTTTTCATTTTGGTTTTCGCAAGTGCCACAGCACAACAGATGTCCTGGTGAACTTGGAGGTTTATATTCGTACTGCTTTTCCTGCAAAGACCTCCGTTGTTGTCGTCCTTTTTTATCTAGAAAAGGATTACGACACTACCTGGCGGTATCATATTCTGTCCCAACTTCCTTCTTTTGGCCTTCGTTGGAATCTCCCTCTCTTCCTCCAAAGTTTCCTCTCTCATCGTTCCTTTTGAGGCTCGGTACCACTCTCTGCCCCTTTTCAGCAATATGAGGGTGTGCCCCAGGGTAGTGTTCTGAGCACTACTCTTTTTCTTGTTGCTCTCAATGGTCTTCTTTCCTCCCTTCCTTCTGGCGTCTTCTCTGCTCTCTATGTAGACAATCTTACCCTTTGCTGTTAGGGTGATGATTCCCCTCTCCTTCAACGGCGGTTTCAACTTGCGATTGATGACGTGTCGTCTTGGGCCACCGATCATGGCTTCAAGTTCTCTGGGTCTATGACTTTTACTCGGAAGCGTGTCATTCTCTGTCCCTCTTTGTCTCTTTATGGACATCACCTTGTGTTCAAGGATTCCACTAAGCTTCTGGGGTTAATCTTTGACACTTGTTTGTCTTGGTCAGCCCATATCTCTTACCTTCGTACTGAATGCTCTAAGGCCCTTTCCCTCCTTAAGGTTTTGTCCCATACTTCTTGGGGGGGCGGATAGGTGTATGCTCCTCTCTCTACATTCCTCACTTTTCATGTTTAAACTCGATTATGGTTGCCCTGCTTACTCGACCGCTTCTCCTTCTACTCTTCGCCATCTTGATGCTTTGCAACATGCTGGGTTGCACCTCAGCTCTGGTGCCTTTCGTTCGACTCTCGCCCTCTGCTTGTATGTTGACACTGGTTTCCTATCTCTCCAGGACTGCCGTGATCGCTACAGTCTTCGCTATCTGGCGCGGTCCTTGCAACATCCTTCCTCTCGCCTCTGTCGTGCTTTGACTTTTACCCCTCCTGTAGTTCCTGTTCCTCTTCATCACCTACCTCTTTCTGTCCAGAGACTAGCTTCTTCACAGCGGAACTTTATTCTATTCTCTATGCTCTTCGTCTCTTGCTTTCTCGTTGTCAATCTTCCTTTGTAGTTGTCATTGACTCTCGTAGTGCCTTCATGGCTTCTTTAATCCGGTACATCCAGTGGTCGTCGAGATTCAACATTGGCTGTTTCTTATTTCCAGTAACTGTAAGTCAGTTGAGTTTGACTGGGTTCCCAGCCATATTGGTGTTTCTTTAAATGAGCGTGCTACGCTGCCGCTTGGGAAGCTGTCCGCTCTTGTCCCATCTCCTGTAACGGTATTCCTTATTCCGACTTTTACCCTGTTATTCATTTCTCCATCCTTACCCGTAGCCATTGGCAGGATTATTGGTCTTCTGTTACTGGTAACAAATTGCGTACTCTTAAGAGTTGTGTGTCCTCATGGCCTTCCTCCTGCCACCGTAGCCGGCGATGGGAAACGGTTCTGGCGAGGTTGCGTATTGGCCATACACACCTAACTCACGGTCACTTAATGAAGCGCCGCCCTGCTCCTAATTGTCCAAATTGCATTGTCCCTCTTTCAGTCGTGAATATCCTTGTTGAATGTCCTGACATTCAGGACGAGCGTGTGTCTTGCTTTCCGACCGCCCCTCGCGGTCACTTGTCCCTCCATAGAATTCCTGATAAGTCGATTACTTTTGATATCGTTCGCCTAATTCGTTTCTGTTCTCACATTGGCATCCTTGGTGATATTTAGCGCCCTCTGATTATTCAGCACATTTGATGGTGCTACATAGCCTTCCCGGTTTGGTGCCTTCTTTTGATAATTAATTACTTATTAATAATTCAAAATTAATTCAAGTTATCATAGAAAAATATATAAAGTATCTCTATACTTTCTTCAATACCGAGCAACGACCATCTCAGGAAAGGAAGAGACCTAAACACCAACAACCGCTGGCTGCCCAGCAACAATTGAACACCATTTGGATGTTGAACTTATACCATATTTGTTAAGGAGCACACACTGTGCCCCTCAATGTAACAACGTTCAATTTCAAACTTTAGTACCAAGTATAGTCAAAACTATAGAGTATTATCTTAGTTCAGTCCAGTAATTTGGACAAAATATAATATCAGTAAACAATTGGGAGTTGCAATGTGGGCTGTATAAAGCTCACACACATCACCAACACCTCACGAGGATCTTCACTTCCCTCTCTAATTACTGCTTGTAATAGTAGGAAGTTAACACAAAGATAAAGATCCAAAATTTCTTGAGTGCTGGTGTATAATCATATTAATTAATTAAATTTAATTAGTATTAATTCATAATTTTTAATTAATAATTTAATAAATCCTCAAAGTCTTTACAGATGATTAGGACGCATGGCCAGGCCCACACTCTGGTAAGTACTCAAATTAAATACGAATGTTTCTACTTAAAGAGGTAAGGTGAGCTATTAATTACTAGTGTTAGTTTGTAATATGAATATGTTCTATTTGTATCAGTGCAAAGAGTTGAGCATGTAATTAAAATATGATTATACTTAACATTTACCTAAAACGTGATTCAGAGGTTGAGACATCAACCATCACCTCAGACACTGAACAAATCTTAACCATAGCAATGATCCGTTAACAATTGACAACAGGAGACACTAAGATGTACTATTTTCAATATATAAAAAAGTTCATAGTGGTTTAAAAATAAATTTTAATATGGTTTACCGATATCAGCCGTGCTTATAATTTACACATGCTAGAAGGTGAGTTTGAGAGTAGTTAAGAGTCTAGGAGAGATGAATGAAAGGAGATGAAAACAAGCGATGGTTACCAGAGAGACTGGATCTCAAATCTATTTTTTAATGAGTTGCAACATTAATGCACCTGTTGCTCATTATTTTGTTGCCTCTGCCACGAATGCTAAACTCTTAGTGACCACCATGAGTCGCAGTTCATAATTACAAGGCCTTCCTTCTACACTGCGAGAGTTCTGTCACTGCTACACTTCCCTGTTGTATGAAGGTAAGATGATTGCTTACATATACAACTCAAGTGACCGGATCACAGCTTAATATGAAGCACTCTTGAATTCTGCTGTCATGATAGTCAACCCGTGACATCCACACCCCAGGCATGGGAGTCATCCACACCCCAGGCATGGTGTAACAAACTAGGCTTGTTGTAAGAATTATCCAGAAGGTTCCAGAAGTCGTGTAAGGACCTGACCTCACAACGCGCATTCCTCTGGGAATTAGCAAGTCTGAGTCACAAAATGGCTGACGTCTTTGTTCATAGCTTCGTATAATGAACCATTCTATATTATTCAGTTATTTAGAGAAATTAGCCTTTATTCATTTTGCATTCAAATTGTTTTGTATAATATTACTGTTTATAATATCAAGAGTAGTCTAATTATTAGGAGAATGAGTTTAAGTCACCATCAGTGACGTCACTATCCATGACTAGACCTCGGCGCGGAAGAATTTGAGTGACCTGACGGTCATAGGTCAACAGTTTCCACATTCAGTAATTCTCAAAGGTCAAATAGCCATTTTGGGACCGGGAATGGCCCTTCCTTAAGAGGCTTGTGTAATTTAACTTCAGTAAAATATTTCAACCAATCTGGATCAATTCAGTGCAACAGAGTTTAATTGTTAAACTTAAGCCTGGCTAGTAACATGGTAAAACTTAGACTATGCGGAAGGATACAATGCTCTAGTCTGGGGAAGACCAGACGAGGAGAGTTTAGTGTGGGATCGAGATCAACTGGGGGATGTCAACCATCTCACCTCTCCCCTAAGACCAGCACTCCACCCAAGCTGGTCAACATAGAGGTATAGTTGCTACTGTTATTTATAGGGATAGCCAATTCATTGCCGATCTGGTCAATTAGGGAGTGTTCAAGTAGGGAGTGCTAACAATTTAGATTTTGCTTAATTTTGAATAAATTAATTAGTAAATAATCTGCATTTTCATTATTTCCATGTGTTTGTTATATGTATGTGAATTGGTCCTTGTCACGTGGTCCCCACGAGGCAGAGTTAAATTGGGCGCCGATTCTAACATTGAATCAGGATTATCATTCCCGGATTTGTAATTAATTCCACACGTTAGATCCGAGGTTATAAGTTACTAGTGGAGATCAAGCCCCAAGGTTGATTAATTAGCATGATCGATCCAGACCTCGATCATGGCTCAG